CGATCGTGTTAATTTGATTAAATGATCTATACAGATTTCCAGACTGGATTTCTCGTTTTAATATATCGTCTGTTTTTTTTTTATTTCTGTCTATAACATTAAGATATTCGCTACATAACTTTTGTTAGATCAATGCTTTTTCCATCATAAAATTTAAATATATTTTTGTGAATGAAATGTTGTAATGTACTTAGCATGACAAAATTAATGTTTTTTTATATTCACTTTTTGAACAATTGCTAAAAACAAATTTTAATTTTTTATTAAGTCAATCAAATTGTAAAACGCTAAATATAAAAAAGGCTTATTTGTATAATTGAGACGAAAACTTAAACAAATAATTCAATTTTTGTTTATTACATTAATTTCACTAAATTAATGATACTTTTATAAACACATCTCATAATCAAAAATATAGAAGTATAAATATTTACAAAGTAGTAGAATCTTTGAAAGATTCGTCGTGTGGTATCATTTTCTGAACATATGATCAGTTTCTGATATTTTCTATTTATGATAAGTACATAAAATATATATGGCTTTATCATTAATTATATAATTTCAGCATTTATTCGAGTAATAATTTTCTTAGTTACAAATGCAATGCATTTATCATACAAATCATTTAAAAACAGATTTATTTTATATATTATTTATATAAATTGCTGAATGTATCCATTAATTGATATAGGTCTCGCGTTGAAAATTTTCAATTTACGAAATAACAAGTGGTTCGTGAACATTCGTGTTCATGTTTAAACTTTTACTCCATTAACTATTGTTGAAAAAAGTTATTGTAAATATGTCAGATACATATATAAAAAAGACGATATGTTATGTGTCATAATTAAAATAATATAACGATTAGGGAGTAATATTTGCTTTATATTGATTCGATTTACATATGATACAACGCCATAAATTGTAAACATGCGTAATATTCGTAAAAATTGTTGACAAAACTTATTACAACATACATTTTCGTTAGTTATTTCGATGAATGTAAAATTTTGTTTGTATGAGAAAAAGATAAATAGGAAATGTACAATCCCCGGTTTGATGCGTCCGCACGTGCGGAGAGGCCCACGGTTTCTTACTCTTTGATCTGTTTGTATACAATTTTATTGTAAGATACGACAGAATAAAATTGTGTATTGTTAAACAAGATCAGCGTTTTTGTAAAAACATCCCTGATCGTTTATTCTTTAGATTATAAAAAAGAATATTTATATACAGGTACATGTGCTTTATCTTCGGTCGAAGTGTTGAAGTCGGAGCATGCAACTGCGAGTTCATTTTCTGACGAAAATAAGTAATTAGTGCAAAGATCACTAAAAGCTTATGAACCGTGTATATAATATGCATGTGAAATATACACGATCATTTAGCAAATAAAGCATCAAGATCCTTTTAGTATTGTATTCATAGTTCAAAATATTTACTTTAAAAATATTATTTTAAAAGTAAATATTTTGAACTATTCATGTTATTTATGATAAGATTAGGAAAAAAAGTTTTTCTCTGTAATGATCAATGTATGAAGAAATTGGAAATATTGTTACTAAATTTTATTGCATATTAATACGATTAATCTTAGCAAGTACCAATTAACAATAATAAAACTGTTAGTTGTAATTTTCTGTTCGATAATATTAGTAATATTACTATAAGTATTGTGTGGAAAATTATAATTAACAGTATATCATTGTTAATTAGTATTTACTGAGATATCGTGATTGCTACAATTATACGAATTATTTGTTTTATATATTATATATAGGGGAGAGTGGTCTAAATCGGACCGTGTTCTAAATAGGACCTTTTTAATTTAAATGAATACGGTTAAGCAGATTTGCATACTATTTATAACGTAAAGTCCTTATAAGACACCGAACATGTATAATAGAGCAGTTTGACAGTTCTCTGTCATAACATTCATAAAATAGAGGCAAATATGTATTTTCAGCCATTGTGCGAAAATTTTTTTAAAAAAGAAAATCCTTGTAAATCATTATTTAAAAGGTGTTAAAAATTTGAAAAGTAATTGATTTAAGATAATTAAAGAGTGTAGAATTATAAAAATCAAGAAAAAATATCAAGCATTTCGTGATTACTTTTGCGGTTTATTGTAAAATTTGTTCCAAAGTTCGAAAAGACCCGTGTCCAAATCGGACAGTACAGTGAATAATTATAGGCCTGGTTGTAGTACTGGTGATCGGCTGACTAGATCTGGTCCAAGCAATTAAATCAGTAAAATATCATGAGTCATCAGACTCAGATTAGTTGAGTTTTATTGATTTCAATTCTGATGATATAAACAGTCAGTATTTTTTTTTCCGAAAAAAATGTTTATCTTTGACTGTCAAATTGCTCGTTTTTACT